TTAATTATGTTCTATTAGGGTTTAATTTTGAGTGTATAGGGGGTTTTAGGTGTCAAAACATTTTTTAGGGTTTAGAATTTTAAGATATAGGTTTTATAAATCTATAATTAGTTGCACTTTTGTATATGGACACTCCTAAGTGGTATTCTTGCAAATGTGCACACAAAAAATAGCATTTTTGTAATTGCCCCCTAATTTTATTATATATATAATATGATACTTTTTAGAAGAAAAGTAGTTTATTAATATTCACACTTTTAGTCAATACTGCTTACATTTTGAAACGGAAAGAGCAGTTGATATAATTATATTTATTATTACTTGGAATAAATTTTTTAACTATTTAATTTTACTATCAAGTTAAAACTCTTAAGTCCAAGCTATTTAGTTTGTTTTACAATATTCTTGATAATAACTTTTCTGTTACCTATAAAAAAAACATAGAAGATAAAGAGGCTAGAGAGACAAAGAAGATGGAGGAGCGTACAAGTTCTGATACCATAAAGTTTTACAGAACTCGTACGCTTAGGACAAAGAATTTTATGTCTGTGTGTACAAAAATTTGAATCTCAGCTGCACATCTCCATCAATTCCTCCAGCATCCAACGATAGTCTATCCACCCACCATCTTTTTTACAGCTGTGAAAAAACATTAGCTACTGGGTTTACCTTTTAATCCTAGGGCTCATCAATGATTGACTATCCCTCGTAAATATATATAGAGAAAATTATTCACATCCACTTTTCTATTAAAAGACAAATACTATTATTTAATCTTCTTAGATGTTATAATTTGATCGGCTTAAAATGATGACATGTCTTTAAAAAAAAGATTACATGGTTTAAACTAATTAAATGGATAATTTTTTTAATTGAATAATTATTATTTACGTTTTAAAAATTGTAGTCTTTTACGTCATACTTTAATTATATTTTTTAATGTAAAGCAAAGCTTTTGAACATCTAACTAACATACGTATATTCCAATTCCTAAATACAATATCTAACTAAATTTTTTCAATTATTTTACAAAATATCTTCTAACTATGCGATTCTATAGGGATCCCTAACTAAATATATATATTTTCTAATTAAATAACAACATTTTTTTTGGGGGTCA